ACAGATTCGGGGGCGGAAGTTGCATGGTGTTGGGTGCTTTCTGTGGGAACAACCGTTCCCGACTTCTGGTCATCTGTGGAAACCTCACAGCTGCTGCTTACTGCGACCAGGTGCTCACCCCTGAACTCGTTCCTGTCATGGCGGCTCATGGCCCAGGTCTACAGTTCCAGCATGATAATGCTCCTCCGCATACCGCGATGTTGACACGAAATTTCATTCAAAACGCTGGAATCAACGCCATGGACTAGCCATCGAGGTCCCCTGACCTTAATCCAATAGAGCACATTTGGGATGCACTTGGGAGAAGGCTTCGTGGTCTTAGGAACCAGCCTCAGAATTTACAGGAACTTGGCGCTGCCTTGCAAGAGCAATGGCGCAGAATCCCCAACCACGTGTTCACAAGCATCAGGCAGTCGATGAGGAGACGGTGTTTGGCAGTGGTGAATGCGCAGGGCGGCCATACATGATATTGAACTGAGACATTTCGCATTTTTATTCTTGTGACTTGACATTCTGTATACCCATGTTTTGGAACGGCGGTGTAGCCTAATGGAACTGATTATGGCACTGTCAGTGTATCGAGTACATCACACAGATCTCAGCAATGAAATAATAACAACTTAACCATCTTACCATCTCTTGTTAGTGCCCTGAAGAAAGAATGTTAAGTTTCTTTTTTGACTCAGTATATATCTAGCTTGATCAATGCAATCGTCCACTCTCGGTTTTGGATAAGAATCAGTTCGCAAGAGTTTCATGTCAGCACAGCAGCGCCAACTACCTCCACCACACTTCAGCACGAAAACATGGTGAACTCCATGGACTGTCACTGGGTTCAATAATGTCATTGTCCAGAATGTATTTCAATCCTTTCGGCAGAATCTCACGTTTCACTGGATTCATACGATATGGGTGTTGTTTCACAGGCACAGAATCACCTACATCCATATCATGGCTAACAACATCAGTTCGGCCAGGCACATCAGGAAATAAATGAGAGATCTCATGAATCAAATCTGACATTTTAATTTTCTGCTCAGGGGATAAATGTGACAGTTTCTCATCAAGGTGAGCTAACACATCAGAGTTTCTTAACTTTGGTGAAACATTATCACTAAGATCATCAAACTTCACATTGCTAACACCATCATCAATATTGCCAACACATTCACCATTGTCTTTAGAACAATCAGTAACAGGGGAGAGTGTGGCAATACAATTGACCTGTTTGCTTTCTAACCTGTCTGGAAAAATGCCGATGTGACGTAAAGCTCAACTCAACTCAACTCAACTCATTCTAACCTGTCATGATATTTCTTAATCATGTTTACATGACACAACCTCTTTTTTTAACGAAGACCAGGCATCAGGACGACATAGTCTGTGTCGCTAACCTTTTTGTCAACAACATATGGACCTTGATATCTAGCTATCAGTGGTTGACCAGGAAGCGGAAGTAAAACTAACACTTTCTCACCACAAATGAAATTTCTCTTTTTGACTTTCTGTCATAGTTTTGTTTCATTTTGCTTGTGAAACTTTCAAGTTTTGTCTGTCCAACTCACTTGCTTTTGAAAGTCTGTCACGAAATGTAGACACATAGTCTAAAAGATTGATCTCAGGATTGTGATTGAGCCATTGTTCTTTTAAATGTTTGAGTGACCCGTGCACACTAACAGATTTTATACTACAAAGAAGATGTCCTTCCAGTAGATGAAATGGATCGCCAAAAGATTTTTATTGAAGCCGCTACCTTTGAAATTGATAAAGGAATTTTATACAGATTCGTCCCACAGAGACAGAAGGGCCATGCGGACAAATTCATTAAACAGCTGGCAGTTACAAGAACTCCCAGGAATCAGGTCCTGAGATCCTACCATGATTCTGAGTTTGGCGGTTGCCACCATGGAAAGGAAAGGATGTTCAACACCATGAGACCAAAATACTACTGGTCCAAGATGTACACTGATATTGCAATGTATGTCCAGACATGTGAGGTATGTCAACACACCAAGAGGCACTACCACAGCAAGAAGGCACTTCTACGTCCACTACCTGTTGAAGAGGTCTTCACCCGATGGCATGTTGACATCCTTGGTCCATTGCCAACAACACCAGATAAGTACAAGCACATTTTGGTCATCAACGATGCAGCATCTATATGGATTGAAGCCTTTGCCCTGAGAACGCAAGAAGCCACAGAGGTAGCAGATGTTCTCATGAGAGAAATATGTTGTCGGTATGGCGCTCCAAGGACCTTAATTTCAGACAGAGGTCAGAACTTCATGTCAAAATTAATCAAGGCTATTTGTGAACTTTTAGCTATCAAATTCACTCATACTAGCCCATACCATCCCCAAACAAATACCTGTGTAGAAAGGCTCAATTCTTATATCAATTAATCACTAAGAGCCTATTGTAACAAAACTCAAATGATTGGCCCCGGTTTCTTCCAGGCATCATGATGGCCTATCAGATGGCTCCAAATTCATCGACTCAAAGGTCCCCTTTTATAAGCTTTTTGGACGAGAAATGAGAGCTTCACAAGATGTTTCAATTTATTCCAAAGGAAAATTTAGGCCACAACAACAATTTGCTTGAGGAGCTAGAAATTACAAGGACAATTGCAGCTGAAAACACCGCTCGAGCAAAGGAGGTGTATTTTGAACAATATAATCGTAAGGCTAAAGAGCCAGATTTCTCCCCAAGCCAAAGAGTTTGGCTATATTGTCAAAAAGTGGAAAAATGCCTTTGCAACAAGTTAACTAAAAAGGGGTATGGCAGTTATTACATTGTCCATTCAGGTCCAAATTTCACCAACAAACTACGCCGAAGTTCTGACGACAAATTACACAAACCATTGGTCCATGCCAACCGCCATATTTTGATCCAGCTGATCGTCCACAGTATCCTCCAGAACCATACGTCAACAACAACAACATGGACTCAGGAGTGATAGATGACAATGAGGAACCATTTATGACACACAGTATGACAACAACAACGCCCAATCAACAAGTTCGACAAAAGATCAATTACCTGTACAACAAAGAGGTAAGAAAATCAATCCAAAAACAAAGGCAGACAAACCAAATACTCCTACGAAGAAAAAGAGAGCCACTCCGGAAAACTCTGCTGGCCCAGTACAACAGTTACTAAGCAGAAGCAGGAGCACCGCAGGTCCAAGTAACCCCACCAAGGAGAAAGGAAATACAAACAAGGGTAAAAGAGGGGTGAACAGTAAGCATCCCTCAGCCCAAATCAAGACCACAATCAGAACCAAGTCAAGTTCAATAACCAACCCAACAAGCAACGTCCAGCAATGATGCCAAGGTTTTCAATCCTGATGACATTCACTCAATTCTTGCTTCCAAGAGGGCAATCAACAAAATCTACTACAGAGTGAAATGGAAGGATCCAGAAAGAGGAAACACATGGGAATATGGCAGCAGCATTCCAGACTCAATTCGGAGAAAATTTCACGTCAAGAGAAATATGTCAGGAAAACGACGAAAACGGCCACTGAAGAATCACAAATTCTTCAACCAAAGAGAATTAGCACAAAACAATAAATCAGTCAATGTACTGTCAAAGAGTTTTAAACAGCAATCAATCATTACAGAACCACTATTGGACGTTGAACCATACCCAGTGGAACCTATATACCTACGAGAATTCTATCAAAATATCAAGAGAGTTGTGGGCATTGAAATAGTTAAAGGGGACTGCTATGTCAAAGTCTCGTATAACTTATACTAGCCACATAAAGAAACTGTGCATTGTCAAAATATTATCCCAGTTGATAAGTACGATAACAATGTCAAAGGTACATATAAACTTTAATGGAGGGATCATGAGACCATAACAAGTCGGGAGAATTTCATTTGAAAAGTCAATCACAATGACGTCACGAGTCCACAAGCGGGACAGGGGTCAAACGACCATGTCACAAGCTCAATGACGGGTATGTCCACCATCGGCATTGAGAACAGCAGTGCATCGACGACGCATAGAGCCTATCAAATGTGCAAGGAAGGCTTGTGGGATGTCACGCCAGATTCTCTCAAGTTCTGTTGCAAGGTAAAGGCCGTTATCTGGCGGATGAGGAAGACGTAGACGTCGATCCATCTCATCCCAAACATGCTCTATCGGGAAGAGATCCGGTGAATTTGCAGGCCAAGGCAGTAAGTCAACGTTGTGGTGTTGCAAGAAATCCATAGCAACCCTTGCCGTATGAGGGCGGGCATTGTCCTGTTAGAATGTTAACCCAGGGCCATGACGTTGCAGAAAAGGAATTGCCACAGGTCAAAGAATCTGACCCCTGTAGCCCACACCAGTTAAGTTGCCCTGAACATTCACCAAAGGAGTTCTTTGGTGTGCTGTCATTCCACCCCAAATCATCACGGAACCACCACCAAAGCGATTCCTCTCCAAGACACAGGCCTGTGCATATCGTTCTCCCACGCGTCTATAGGCACGTTGACGTCCATCATGATGGGAAATGTTAAACGTGGACTCATCTGTAAAAACAACATTTCTCCACCAAAACAAGGGTCTGCGGACATGATTTTGGCACCACATTCGGCGAGCTTGTCGATGACGTTGTGTCAGGATAGGCCGTATGGCGGGACGTCGTGGTCTGATCCCGTGATGACGTAAACGTTGTCGAACCGTGTTGGGGTGGATACGGCGAAGTCCTGGGATGGTTCGGGCAGTCATCACTGCAGTCTGAAACCTGTGGCGAAGATGGGTCACCCTTATCCATCTGTCCTGTCTTGGCGTTGTTACACGTTGACGTCCAGAACGTGGCCGATCGATGACGTCATTTGTGTTCTGGTAGCGTCTCACCTGTGCAGAAATGGTGTTCCGGTGGCAGTGGAAATGTGCAGCCACTTGTCGTTGAGACATTCCCCCGCGGACCATCCCAATGGCCTCATGATGTTGTGCAGACGTGAGCCTTGGCATGCTATGCGTTTCAATAGCCGTTTAATTTTTTGAACGATCGCAAGAGCAGGAGTTGAGCTTTCCAAAGTGACAGTATTGTGTGGCATTCATTTGCTCTGTTTCTCTTTCCCGGAATGCACGTGCAACAACGTATTGCACGTCTCAAGGACGAACCCACTGACGTCACGGAACGTGGCACGTGCATGCATGTTGGATACATGTCACTAATCTCTGAGTTTAAATCCTTATGTGTCTACACAGGTTTGATAAATTTAGATTTTAAATTGTTGTATGCACAGCTTCTTTATGTGCCTAGTTATATGACAAAAATGATCATAGATATCATACAGCGTAATTTTAAGCTGTTCCTCTCCACCTCATACAAGATTACCTCAATGAAAGCTGGGTGGATCTCTGTAAATGGTTTGAAACTGACACCCCAGAGAATTATGATACCCCTGGTGAATTACCCATCTATAAATCCAAACGCTCTTTTGTACAAGAAGAAGGCATCAGAATGGTTGGCTCGTTTGAATACCGTGCAGTGCACACTGATTAGAAATCTATATACCATACCCATATTCATTCCCGATGCACACCTGTGGTCGCTAGATAGTCATATTCCTGCAAAAGGTACAGCACCTCATTATTAACAGGAACTGTTAGCTCTGGGGAACGTATATTTGTGTCCTGTCATATCACTTTGTGCTACCTGATATCACTAGTTCTGAGCAAATGACATCAGCCTGATCATCTGAGTTATTTGCATCACAACAAATTTTGAGCATTGATCTGATGAACCAATCTCAAAAACAAAGTGAACTTATAACAAACCTTACCCAACGCAAAACGAAAGTGAAATACACCGTCCCGAAGAGGAGCAAACTTAACCTATGCAAAACAAAAGCAACATACACCTCCCGAGGCAGAACAAACTCAACCAACGCAACACAAAAGCGAAAAATACGTCCCAAAGCCGAACAAACTTAACCAACGCGAAACAAAAGTGAAATAAACCTACCGACGCGAAATGAACATAACTAACGTGAAACAGAACCGAAAATATGCAGTAACGAAGAATAACTCGCAATATGCTGTACTCGAGCGATTTAAACTGAACCTCAGCCAAACGTACAGGCCGAGCTAAAGTGAAATGAACCAATGTATGTATATAATTGCTCATACATAATATGATATCATAACATATATATCCATATATAATATACCCATGTACATTGTGTAGTCCAATGCAAATAGTATCATTTCATTCCAGGTCATGACAGTCCTTTTTTTTCTATGCACTAACAAACTCAAAAACATTTTGCAGGGAAATGTATCTCCCTATATATTTACTTCATGTACATTTCATTTGTATGTACTCCGTCAGAATAAGTTTTATATATATATTGACTGCAAGCTAACTCTCATTTGTTTTGTATTTTCATGAAATTCATCTATCCGCATGGGATGATTGACAAGTCAACTCCAAACTAAGGATGTGGAACCATCACAAGGCCTCCTGGAAACATCAAGAACCAGTACACAGAGCCAAGACAAGCCAGATTCCACATCTAGAGGTGAGGTGAGGTGAAACTGGGTTTTACGTCGTGCTTGAGAATATTTCGCTCATATCACAACGTGCATGCGTGTGTATGTGTATGTGCGGCTGCTTGTACTAACCCAGACTTAAGCTGGTTTTATAGTGCTAGCCCACTGAGATACCATGCCGCCGTGAAGCATGAATAACCCACTCTGACACATTATACTGACTCTGAGCCGACCAGTCCTTGGTGTACCCATTAATGGGCCTGGCAGGGACCAACAAGTACCATATTTTAACGTCTTTTTGTATGACGCGATTGGGGATCGAAACCGCGACCTTCCGCTCTCCAGGCGGACGCTCTAACCACTACACCACGGAGGCGATTTCCACATCCAGACTACATGTTGACAGCAGAACCTGTGCCTCTATACCAAGGGACAATATTATATATATAATATAATTATTGTTTACTGTACTACCAGTTTCATATGAGTGTCCATCAACTAAGTTTGTGCCATTGTCTATCTAAGAATTTATTTTTCATATTTGTCTAAGTTTGGGGACCAAAGTTTTCAGACAGCAGGTAAGTTATCATGGAATGATAATTCATACGAAAATTAATTATTAATTATACTGACTGACTTAGTTTGGTTTTACGCCGCTTTTAGCAATATTCAAGCAACATCACGGCGGGGGGACACCAGAAATGGGCTTCACACAATGTGCCCATGTGGGGATCGAACCCGGGTCTTCGGCATGACGAGCCAACGCTTTAACCATTAGGCTACCCCACCGCCCCATTTTTGATTATAACCACTACAAGCGATATATTATGATTCAGATATTAGGAAAATATAAACATAGAATATTAGTTTCATCATGTATCAGTAATAGCTTAGAGAAAGATTCCAGTCAAAAGTAGTAAAACTCATTTCACAGACATACTATTGAAAACGTGTAAATTACGGCTGCACAATTTCACAGGTGTTCAATATAAAATCCTAGCCTCAGTTATCAAAGAATCAGGCTGTTAGACAAAAATTTCAGTAAGACAAAGTTATGACTAGACGATTTAATTAACTGCTTTGGTAAAGTGAACATGTCATCACCTACATTAAAATATATTGTGCAAACACTTCAAATTAGGGTCATTAAGCCATCTATTGTAACACCATAATCATCCAAGCAACATGTCAACACAATTTTTTTAGTGCCACTTAAATTAGGAAGCATCCAGGACATGTGTCAACACAATTAGAGCCAGTTGAAGTAGGATTAGCAGGATTAAGTACTCCCCCCTGTCTTGTCATTTCATTTGTAGGACACACCCCATTTTGTATATTCTGTATTTCATTGGCTTTTACAGGGCACACCCATTTTTGTATCAGTCAAAGTAGTATATACAATGATAGTCCTGGATCAAGTCCAACAAAAGCCTCTGCAAAGCCTTATTTCACAAAAAAAGCTTTTGTCAGGCCCTTAGATTTTGCTACCATTGCATCCACTACTTTTGAGCCCACGTTGATTTCCCACCCACACGTGGCACTACTGTACCGCACTGTGCCGCTATGCCACGTTGGCAGGAGGTAACATTGTGCCGTACGGTATGATCAATAATTCTTCTCTAACAAACCCTCTCCCTGGCCCATCTCTCAAGTAGTACAAGTTCGGCTCGTCGTCTTTCACGTCCACTTTATCTATGTTGTAAGTTTTGACTGACCATATTGGGTCAGTGGCTCGCTTACGGCTATCACCCTCGTGTTCCCCCCGGCTGGTATAGGTACCTCACTAGGGCCCTATCTGGTATCTGTTTCTCTTTCCCACGCAATGGTGCAGCCGACTCTGCCACTATTGATTTTAGTTTGATAGCGTCTATCGGCTTCTTACCAGTGAGACGGGTGATTTCATGGTTGATTGCTGACACCACCTGAGGTAGCCGCGGGGTCCATTCGGTGTTGGGTTTATTTAGACTTATTTCCTGAGCGTACTGATGCCCGAATAAGCGCTCAGCCAAAGTCCTATTGAATCTCTCAACTATGGCTTGGCTGCGATGGGCTCCGGCAGTGCCACGCCTGACCTTAGTATCGTGTTTATCTAGCAGGTGTGACACGACACCCATGAACTCCCGGCCGGGGTCAACTTGGAGCTCTGTTGAACTGGTGAACGCTATTGGGTATGTTAATACCAAACTTCCTTCTAGGCACGTAGCGTGGTGGCGGCAAATAGATCTGCCAAAGTGCTTGTTTTTCAAGCCACGCTTTGGCCTCCTCCGGGGGTACTCGCCCGCCATTTTAGCCAGCTTATGTACGGCGCTAGCTCCTTTCCAGTACCCACGCGGGCTGTAGTAAATAGCCTCAAACTTTCTCTGGTTCCGTGACATGTCGCCTAGACAGGGTATCCTGTTTATATACACCTATGTTCTTGGTTCAATTTTCTCATGCCCGTACGCGTACGTGTTTATCCCATCAATAGCTATCCAACGTTTAGTGTCCATCGGCGACAGGGACGTTTTGTTTATAGTCAGTCCGTATATCCTATGTCCATCACTTCTCGGTGTGTTCATTTTATGCCTGAAGGTACGGGTCTTGAACAGGGCTTCCTTGAATCTGGCGTGTTTGATGTGTTGTTTCACCACGTACTTCTTAACACCCTTAGCCTTCCGGATCTCACCATTGTCAGCCTTCAGGATGGAGTACATCTTAGGCCTCAAACCTATGTACTCGGCTATGGGCGTGCCAGCAGACTCGTCCTTCATCTTACCTAGGACCTTTTTATTTACCGTGCTGTGTATGGCATGGTCCTTGGGGTAGTCACTGGTGTCGTACAAATCAAGGCGTTTCTTCATGTCCTCGTACACGTCCTCGGTTCGAATCTCCATCAGCAGGGAATCCGTGTCAGTGTTCACCAGCTCGTTGTAGTAAAAGTCGTACATCAGGTGTTTGGATAAATCGAGGATGCTCATCCCCACGTAAACAGGCCGGTTGAATTTTATGTGGCTTTTCTTCATGTGTAGGGCAACCAGGTCATCGGTGAATATCTTGCTACGGTTGAATGCCGGACTGGCTATCAGTCTCCTGAGCTTGTCTTCCTCATTCGACCGAACCAGCTTCACGGTCATGCGTTTCCTCAGGTTCTCCATAGTCTTACCAAACACCGAGTTGTTAATGAGCTTGTAGAGGTTTTTCTCAAAGTCACTGGTGGCAAGCTTTCAGAGGTCTGTGTTCATTCTGATGTAAGGCTCCATCCATGGGCTCTGGTTGAACACGAGCACCTTGTGTATTTTGGTCAACCTCATACCCAACGACAGGTACAGCTGTAGGTTGCGATAGTGAATGATGTAATTGGTCTTATTCATTAAGTTGGGCACGAGTTTTTCAACGTCTGCCACCCGCCCACCTAACAAGTTATGTTGGTACTCAGACATCCAGTCTGGGTTAACCCTCATACGTTCGGGGGCCAGGGGGTAGCTGTTGTGTCATGTGTGTAATGCCTTGGGGTATTCCAAGTCAACCACGAGGATATAACC